AGTGTGAACAACTGATTGGTGAAAACAATAAGTTACTAAGAACAACAAAATGATGAAGATGATAGATAATTAAGAACAGTGGTGAACATCAGAGTGGAAAGCATGATAAGTAACTAAGAACAACAGAAGCAAACACGTGGTAGATAACTGAGAACAACAGAGTGGTGAACGTGATAAATAACTAAGAACAACAGAGTAGTGAGCATGATAGGTAACTAAGAACAACAGTAGCAAACACATGGTAGATAACTGAGAACAACAGAGTGGTGAGCATGATAGGTAACTAAGAACAACAGTAGCAAACACATGATAGATAATTGAGAACAACAGAGTGGTGAACATGATAGATAACTAAGAACAACAGAGTGGTGAACATGATAGATAACTAAGAACAACAGTAGCAAACATGGTAGACAACTGAGAACAACAGAGTGGTGAGCATGATAGGTAACTAAGAACAACAGTAGCAAACACATGATAGATAACTGAGAACAACAGTGGTGAACATGATAGATAACTAAGAACAACAGTAGCAAACACATGGTAGATAACTGAGAACAACAGAGTGGTGAACATGATAGATAACTAAGAACAACAGAGTGGTGAACATGATAAATAACTAAGAACAACAGTAGCAAACACATGGTAGAGTTTGCCACTGATGTTCTTAGTTATCTATCATGTTCACCACTCTGTTGTTCTCAGTTATCTATCATGTTTGCCACTGATGTTCTTAGTTATCTATCATGTTCACCACTCTGTTGTTCTCAGTTATCTATCATGTGTTTGCTACTGTTGTTCTTAGTTATTTATCATGTTTACTACTCTGTTGTTCTCAGTTGATGATAGATAACTAAGAACAACAGAGTGGTGAATATGATAGATAACTAAGAACATCAGTAGCAAACATAAGAGGTAACTAAGGAGAACAGAGTGGTTTTTATTTCTAAAAGGATAAATATAGAGTAGTAACTGAAAGGATGCTTATATAGTTTAGTTTTGTAGGTTTTAAAGTTTATGACTAAATTATACAGAGGTGGTACTGGTTTTGCTTATGGACAAAACAAAAAATTCTTACTGTCATCACTAGTTGGTTATCATGTGTCCAGCTTGTGGACTTGTGGTTTTTTAACACAAAGTGCCTGCAATCAGTATTGATGTATAGACTTAATACTGTTTATAAATATGTTAATAAGCCAAACTAATGTAACCTTGTATGTAGTTTGCTGAGCAAAGAGCCATGGTAAAAAAAAATTAAAATTATTGGAATACATTCAACCAGAGAACTTACAATGACAGTATCATATTGCAACATTTTCCACTGACTGAACTATTTTTGCATCGCTAAAAATAGTGTTTGGTCTTTATTGTGTTCACTGTGTTGAAATATTTCTGCTTTCATGTATTCTTTGTCATAGTTTGTAGTATTTTTGAGACTATGACTCAAGTAATATATAGTATTGTTTTACCTCAACATTAACTCGTAGAGGTATTCACGAAAAAAGGGGGAATTGTTTACTCTCTGTGTATCAAAGTAACATATAACCAGAAATTCAGACAATGGATCAGAAACATTGTGAAATCTCTTTTAGTTTGTTTATAAGTCAGTTACTTGTATGAGTTTTTTTTTTTTATGTTTACTCGGTACATTAGTTATTCTCGTAATTTCATATTCCAGTCAAATAAGTGGCTCCTGTAGTAATCACTGCTTTCATATGCTATACACAGATGAAAAAGTTACAGTGGTTCTTTATGGTATTTAGAGCTTTACTGTTAAGAGAAGCTGATGTGTGGAGTAATTTCAAGACAGTTTTGTTGGGAGTGTTGTTATTCTTAAATTTCTAGATTGTAACCAGTATCAGCAATATGCCAACCTGGTGTAAGAGAGGTAAATATATGCTTTCTGAGAAGCTAGTTAAAAAAACTTGACCATGGGTGTAAGTCAGCTCTGTGCTTAGAAAGGCTAGTTCATGTTTGCTGAAAACTTAGTTCAAAAACGTGGGTGTAAATTAGCTCAGTGCTTTGAAAGGTTAGTTCATGTTTGCATAGTGAGTATAATGTTTAAGGTTCTATGGAAAATATTTTATAAGAGCTCGTCAACTTTGCGTATTAATGGTTATTTTTTCCATAAAGTATTAGTTTGTATAGAATGCATGTTGTAAGTAGGTTAATTTAATTAGTGAATGATGCAGCTTCTAATGCTTGTGGTGAAATGAAATACCTGTAATAATAATATAACTGATGTGCTGCTTTAGAGTCTGTCATGACAAGAGTGTAATAATCCTACAAACTGCATACAGGAATTAATTAAGAAAATGGTGTACATTATTCAAGACATTATTAAATGGAGAATTGTACCTTTTCAGTCCATTAAGCTGGAATTCATGTGCATATGATGTACAGATAAGTTTATTAAGGTACTACTTTACTTGTAGAGTTTGAATTTAATAATCTTTTGTTGTTGGGTTTTGATTCTTAAAGAATTGATAAACTTTACTTCTGACACCACTTTCTTAGGAAGTGTTATACTCTTACTTCATTTCCCCATCGTACGTATACTAACTTTATGTTGTACCTATATACCTGTCAGGATTTGACTCGCACCAATGTAAAAATAACAAATTATTATTTAATTCTGGTAAACAATAACACAAAGATTTAGAAATGGATTTTAATTTCCAAGTAATTGACTCTTTTTTTGGAAAATGTAACTTAATGATAAAGCACAACACGAACGTGATAATTGGAAGCATTTAATAAATGTTTTGGAATCATCACAATTTCATCACCAGTAATCTAGAGGTACAAAACAAACAAACAGTATTTGTAATTACAACAGAAATATGATATACATAAGAAGAAAACTAATTGAATATAAAAATTATAACATGAGAAAATGAAAATCAAGTGAAGAATGTAAATTATTTAGGGACAAGAGAAGAGTTTTTATGTATAATGCTTCTTTTATAAGAAGGATTTTAGTATGTTACTGACAGCATTTTACTTTCTTCCTGTACCTCTGTCAGTTTCTGGTTTTGGCTCTCACATCTGACCTGGCCTTCACCTCTTTTGACTTTATCTTTTTTTTTATATTCCAAACACATACCAAACCACTCCTTTTGTGTAGGACATTGCATCTATCTTCTTATTGTTCTATGACCAGTTACTAAGATATATTTCTGGTTAGTGATTGTATCATTTCATAAACATAGGAGGACTTTTAATCCCCAGACTGATCAAACCTAGAAAGGCCAACACCAAACCTGCCCATTCCAATTACTTTTTAAGGATTTTAAAAATATTTTCAGCTCCTTATTCATTAGAGACTGACCAAAGGCTGGCCATTTTTTATAATCATTTGAACAATATCACCCCACATCTCCAGGGTTCTCACTAGGGTCCCACAGTGAAGAGTACCGAACTCTCAACTTTTTTTTTCAAGAGTCCCATAAGTAGGATTTAATAAACTCAAAAAAAAAAAAAAGGAAAAAAAAGCACTTTATTTTCAATGAAAAACTATTTACAATGTACACTACATGTTTACCTTCTACAAGTGTAAAAAGAGCATGTTCGAATAGTTGACTATTCTTCTTCAGGAGAACAAAGAAGAATAGTCAACTTTTCGAAAGCGCTCGAGTTTTGGGTCTTATTTTGAGTTTATTACACTTTATATGTGATCCTTTGTGCTAACTTTTTTTTATCAAGAAAAGAGCATGTTAATGTTCAGTGAAAAAATGTATTTACAATTTACACTACATGTTGTTTCCCTTTATAAGTGCAAATGAATTTTCATGATAAGATTTTAAAAACTTCTTTATCTAAAAATTTTCAAATATTATTTGCATAACCCCTAAAATGTCCTAAATAAATATCAAATGTTGTTGGTTTTTTTTTCAGAAAATCTTTATATTTTTTCTGTTGTTTTTATTTTTACCCAAGTCTATATGAGGTTGGTTGATTTGATCGACCTCATAACCACCATAAAAAACAATTTGGAAATAATTATAAATAATTCTATTTTCTTTCTAGAATGTCTGCAACTTGCAACAGAAAACCACAATTGTTTATCTTAAGTAGCTTAAAGTTTGTAATAGTATACAGTTGGTGCTACTTTAGCGTGCAGTCTAAACAGATACTATCATCATCATTGTTTTAATGATTCACCAAAATGAAATTTCTTGCTAAATGATTTATATCTATCAGCGTTTTTGTTCAGCAAATAATAATTTAATAAGTTGTGTGTTCCAAAAGAGTACCTTAAATTTAGGTTATGATTGTGCTAGTTTTGATTGTTGGAACTTATTTCATTCCGATTATATTTGCCCTCAAAATGTTATGTAATGGTATTTTGTACTTTATTAGTTTAAAAGCATTATTTATAATAACTGGCACCACTTGCAAATAAACAAAAGTTAAATTGGTGATGATGATAGTATCTGTGTAGAACACACACTATAGTAGCACCCTTTTATTTATACTTAAATTTTATTGTCTTATTGCCCTTTGAACTGTGTCTAATTACTATTCGTGCCATATAAATTGCAAATTACTTGGCAAACATGCAGCTCACATTATGATATTGAATTACATAACACATGAACTAATCATGAGCATACCTCATAAAGAATTATTATTATTTATTTTACTTTATCTAACCTAAAAAGTTTTCAATTTTTATATTTTAGTTACTTTTATAATAATAAATAAAGAATACACATCAAAAACAAGGAATAATGTACTTACCTGGGTCTTTTTTGTTTTTCTCTTGACTATCGAAGATGATGCTTAACCTTACTTTTTTATACTAATCATACTACTGCATTAAATGATGCACCAAAGAACACAGAATAATAACATACAAAAAGGAAACAATGTTCCATAATTATAAAAATTTTTCTGGGTTTCTAACTGTGATTGTGTGCTATTTAGTTAAAGTCCATGTGTTTCCCATGGGAATAAAGTTTGAACTGGAAGGAAAATAGAAAATTCTCTGTACAGGCAACAGTGTGATATAATACAATATTTGATAGAGAAAAACTTTGGCTTTTTATTGGTTATAAATGTGAGAGAGAACTATTGGCAAGTTCTGATGAAAACATTATATTATGTAATATACATTATATGTTGTACTTCATGGAGGGGTGGGAAGTAAATTAAAGAAGAGGGAAGACTTAGATAACAAACACCACAGTTCTCATACTAGGGGAAATTGAGAATTTATTCCAAAAATATTTCCTTAATTAAGAACTTAAAACTTAAGTAATACTAAACTTTGATTTATTATCTACGTCTGATGTCAAGTTTATTCATATACATTGATAACAAAGTAATTTAATTAAATTTTGAATGTAACTCTGTGAAAGGTTGTGACATGTGCACTTTGACCTACCCGAGGTGAAAGGGTTAATTATGTGGTAAATACATGTGGCTTTATTTTCTTCCAATTTATTGTCATTGATGAAACATGTTAGAAGTTGATTTTGGACAGCTGTGTGCAAACTTTGTGCTGTTTAGTTTGTTATGGTACAAAATACTTGTGCCTGCCTTGTGTATGGGGCATTTTGCTGTGTGTATTCGGTACCCGAGGGGGGGGTGGTCAAATCTAATGCGTCCCAACAAATTCTTGTGCATATGGTACCTGGAAGATCAGGTCAACTAGATCCCTGACCTCCCTTTCTAACATGGTGTATTCTTAACTTGATTTATGGCTCACTTTGTTTCTTATACCTCATAATTTTTTAGTGTAATCTTAAATAGATTTCTTTTTAACAGTAAATGCGCAATCTATGTATTTATACCATGTATACAAGTACATGCAAATCCATTAGGACAAAGAGTTTGTATGCATACTTTAGAAACATATACCAAAGCACAACATATGTTGCCACATCATAGTGAAAGAAACCAGGTACACTAAAATAGTAGAATCTGTCTATGAAAGTGTTGTAATGTTTAATCCCTTACAGTGTTTGTTACAGTAAAAGTAAAGCAATCTTTAAAGACTTACTTACACAAGTTTCTGGATAATGATATCTAGCTCTAAGCACTTCCTGTCTTTGTTTCTAAACTAATTTTATGTTTTGTATTTATCTTATTATTATGATCCTAGAGGGAAAGTGAATTAAACCTAAATTCTAATGTTGCTGAAGTACACTTTATTTGTTCAAGTGGTTTAAAGGTGCTGGTTATTATGTTTATCAGCATGCCAGATAAGTTGAAATAAGTACTTGTATATCTGATGAAACTGACTGTTACTATGCACACAAGTTCATATTTCAAAAAACAAAAAGGAAGGGGTTATTATGGCACAACTCCAGCAAATTTACATAATCTTAAATCTAAAGAATAGATTTGGATTCTTACAAATGTATAGCTAAAATTTTCATGAAATTAGAGCTACTCTTGAAGATGAAAATAGATTTAATATTTCTCTTCAATAATTTATTCCCAAAATTTTAAATATTGGGCTTGTGTAGACTGACAAATAACATAATGAGGTTTTTAATATTTTTCTTCAAACTTCCACATAGCCATCATAAGTAGTGGACCTTCCAGTATGCTGCATATTTTATTTGGAATTGTAATGTATAAAAATGTTAGTTTTTGATTAAAATGTAATAAGTTGTTTAGACAGCTATTATATTTACTATACCTGCTAGAGGATGATGTACAGAAAACCTTGATTGTGCTCAGTTTACATGTAAAGTATATCCCAGTATGGCTAGATCCTAAGCATGTTAAAGTATTTACCTTTTGCACACTTGCTTATTTAATTTGTTGTAAATACTTGTTTTTATCATCTTTCTGAAATTTATATCCACTAAAACATTCAATATATTTTTTTGTAGGTATTATTTTATTATACAATTTCCTGTAACAAATGGAAAGATTTCTAAATCCTGTTAAACAGTAATGAAAAAACATTTTGAAACCATGAAAGCTGAAAAATATTACTTTGTTTTTGTACTTAATTATAACAATAAATATTCCTCTAGCTGTGATGAGTAATACAATGAATGATTGTAATTTCTAAATAGAACAATAACATTCCTGTTTTTCTAACTCTTATAACAAAAGTTTTACACTTGTCCATATCTTTACACTCTTAGAAGTTAGTGAAACATCTTCCAAAACCAAATATTTACTGTAAGTAAGACAGACTATTCACAACTATTCTTAGCAATGTAGCAATTTCACAGTTTTAACATCCACTTTCAAGTAATAGACTTTTCCAGAATGATGTCATGACATCACACGATCTTGCTTTTTTCTTCTAATATCTGCCATGCTGGATGACAACATACGTATATTCAGAGCCGTAGCCAGTAGTTTTTGCTTCATGGGCAAGTTTCACGAACTGTGCCCCCTACCCCCCTTTTCTTCATTTAAAAAAATACTGTGAACTGATTTAACTGTTTGGCTACAAACTTCTCCATTACTCCAATACAGAGGTAAAGTTAAATAGTACATTCATTTATGACAGATAACATAGTTTTTCTTGAATTAGTAGGTGGAGAGGAAGAAAAAAAGAAGGATGGGGAAGAACAATAGATTTGAGAAGAAATGGAAGAGTTACTTCATGGGAGGTTCAGTTGAGGGTGAACAGATAGAAAGAGGATTAGGGGAAGGAGTAAATAGGAGAAAGTATGGCACAAAGGAAAGAAGTAGGAAGATAATAGAGGATAAGAGATGGCAGAAGTGGGGCAAAAAAAGAAATAGGAGAATTAGTGGAGGGAAGAAATGAGAAATGGGGGAAGAAAGAAAGAGTAAAGACAAAAGGTATGAGGGGAAGTGGGCAGAGTCTCTGCCTAAGGATCTCTTCTAGTAACTTCCTTATTTTTTCAGTCTCAACTATATCATGTAGCCTAATTACATTTCTTTGAAAACATATGAAGAAAAAGATGGTGGAAAAAAAAATAAAAGTTTCTCTTCTTCTTCCTTTCAGTGGGACATTGTTTTGTAGGCAAACGTTGATTCTGATCTCCAACTAGAAGCACACACACACACACACACATAAAAAAAGCTTGCAAAACATGACACAAGTTAAGGCAAAACAAAAAAGAAACACAGCTTTACTTATGATAAACTCTATTTAAATGAAACAAAGTTATCTTGCTTAATTCGTATGATAAATTCAAATGGTAAGTTTTTCTATTTGCCCTCCAGTCTGTATAGTTTTGCATAAATTATTGAATAATAGGCTTAGCACTTGGACTGCGCCCTGAGCAATTGCCCCTCCCGCCCTATCCAAGCTACGGCTCTGCATATAGTCTAGGTGGAGAAAAAAATTTAAAATGCTTTTCATTGTTGTGCTTTTGGTTGCGCCAGTAGACATGGTTCACAACTGGGTTTATCTTTTAACAGACTCCCAGCTGAATCATAAAGAAAATTAATATAGCTTGTTGAGTCAAAGTTGGCAACCCTTACAATATTCTTGTATCTGTAGTGCATATTTTGTGTAGGGTATCAGAATAAATTTGTATAAATGTTTTTCATTAATTATGTGTATAAGTATCAGACTGTTACGTCTTTGTTCCTTTGTTAATTTCCCGTAGAAATTCTTCCCGAGAAACTTCAGCGATACAAGTCCTTTCTTAAATAAAACTAGTTTATTCTTTCTCAAAACAACTTTGCAATACACTTAATTTCCACAGTCACCTTAACTTAAACACATGCTATAATTTACAAAGAACGATTCACGCACTTTACTTACTATCACGCTTGACTCAATTATCCATCTATATCTTCAATCTCTCTGTCTGCTATACAATCCCGATTAATTGTCTGGCACACTTATATACAAGAATAGAGGGCGCCTAACAAATACTGGATTATTCGTGATG